TATGTACTTTCTTAGTCGATGACGCTGCCGGACGCTAGGAACGTTAGTGGTTGCTGATGGACGCTGATAGACGCTGGTGGACGCTGCCGCAAAGTAAAAGGGATGTTGGAGAGCTTTTTCGTTGAGAACGACCCTCCTCCTAATTTCCATCCACAGCACCACCTCCTTCCACAACCGACCAGCCATCTTATCGAACTTTCCCGAGAACTCGCGGTGAGCGGTGCGATGGGAAAGGGGTCTGGAAGGGTAGGGTGAGGGTTAGATGCCTCCGATCAATTACTAGGGCTCAGGTGTATTATTGTAGTTAGGCATCGCCCAATTAGGATATATGTTCCACCTCTCTGAGACGCTGGGTACTCCATTTGAGCATGTCGTGAGTTTAGTTATTCGTTGGATATCTTCAAAAAATTTGACACGGTTGTCATCTTGTCTTCTGTTGGACAATACCACAAATTCAATGGTCCCCAAATCGAAAATCTCTTCAACCACGCCCACTGCCTTCGGGGATTTGGAGTATATATAGCGCAGGAAAAGGTAGAGACCATCAATCAGAAAGATTTTCTACAGGCCAAACATTACTCTCCCCTAGGCCAGATTAGCGCCTAAGAGATTACGGGGTAGTGCTAACTGAAAAAAGCTTATTAGTTTCCTTATTTTATATGTTGTTATTGCAGATAGCGCCTACACGGAACGTTACTTGGGCATACCGCTTGAGAATCCAGGAGCATATAATGTATGCATCATTTTGTAATAATTTGTTCTCACTGTCATAAAGTACTTATTATGATTCAATTAATCAATATTTACCTTTAAGGCTAGTCAATTACTGAACAAAGCCGGCCGTCTCAGGGACGTTAAGTATTTCCTGGCTCATGGGGAGGCCGATGGTGAGAAGCCAGCTGAGCTTATATAGCTTATTAGCTTATTATCTAATTAAATCCCGTATCGCCGTCACAAAGCTTCTTTTCAGATAATGTTCACTTCCAAAATAGCGCGCTTCTAGCGGAGGCGTTACAAGCCGAACTTGTTCATTTCACACAATTAGTAAGTTATAGCTTCTTTTTCCTGAACTTACATGCTGGATGGTGCAAACCCATGCAATCTATGTTTTAGGCTGGTGGCCTTAAAACATTTGAAAGAGTGCCAACACGGGTAAAAACTACCCCTTTTGAATGCACTGTGGCAAAACAACTGCGTAAAGCCGTGGAACTATGAAAAGGCACAAACACTCTCTAGGTTGTTGCAATAAGTAGCGGCGCTCGCAGTGCAGGATGAAGTAACAGATCGATTTCGGCTGAGGCTAGCGGAGGCTTAAAGGCAGTTGGCACGATAAATCCCCCAAGACGAGTAGGATTAATACGCCTGGCAGGACGGAATTCCGCGACCCTGAGCAGGCGCTGCATAATGCCTTTTCCAAGAAAGGTGCCCTTATAAGGCCCTATCATGTCATAGCATACACGACCCAAACGCCCGCCACCCGCCCGCCCACAAATGGACGACCGTTCCTGACGCTCTAATCGATTCATTTGCTAAGCAAATTATGAAGCGAAGGGATTGGTATGAAGCGGCCGTGATGCTGCATGGATATATGAGTACACATATGCAGCTACCTTCGATAGCGGTTATTGGCGAGATGCCTACAGGAAACTCGTCCAAAAATTATATTCGTAACACAATTTCGAGGAACGGAGGCTTTTGAACCGTTTTTTACTCCGTTCGCAGCCATCCCCCATCCTATATGACGCCCTATCTAAGCACTCTTAGGCCAAGCACCAAATCGCCAGCTGCCTTCAGCTGGTACCGGACTCGTCTGCAAGTACAGAAACACTAAACTGAACATCGTAGGGCCCCCGCGGGATACTGAGAGACTCAAAGCATGCAAACACCACTCCGATTCCGAATGGAAGTGGAATGCGTAGCGTATCTCAATGGAACTGAGTAGGGCGAATCCTTTTCCCAAGTGCCTCTGGGCGAAGGTCTATGTACAGCTTAACAGGTAACCGATTAAGATAGACACTTGCACTGAAGCAAAGGGTCTCAAGGGCAATGTTTATCACTCTTATCGATTTTACACGCATGTTATTCGGGTTAGCGACACTTACAGACAACACGAATATTGACATGAATTTTTGCCATGAAGGGAAATGGTGCCACGAGACCGTACAATGACCCAGTGTTGCACCGTATGTTTCGCGAGCGCAAGTAGTTGCGCCAAAGGCTGGAATGTGTATTGGATCCTTCACAACAGCTTTTTTAAAAGCGCAGCCCGTGTCCAGTATAAGGTGGCACCTTCTTCATGAGCACTGCAGTCCCCATTTGGGAAGGTAGACTTTGCTTTTTGGAGCGAGGGTCCAAGGTCCGAGTCCGCTTCTGGGAGGGCGAGCGTGGTGGGCGTCTGGGTCGGTATGTGGCAGCTTGGTAGGGCGCTACGAAGGGTACCTTCTTTGGAAAGGGCGCCACGCAGCGCCTGCTCGACGGCGCCAAACCCTTTCATGCTAGAGTATTAACACTATAAGTCTCAGGGATTTATTATGCCATTGCTTTTGACACAAGGCTGCGCCTTCAACCTCTACACTAAATACGTCACTCTAAGAAGTATTGCCCTCAAAATATTTACATGAGCCAAATCAACATGATTTCAGGTCTACCCCAATCAAGATCACAGTATAGGCCCTCGTCAAGCCCATCTTTTTATGGAGATCGGTCGCTTCCTCGACAAGGAATGCTTTAGCAACAATGACTAACATATTGGTCAAATGCGTTTCATCGTACGGGATTCAATTTCATCTGTAATACGACTCAGTCTTCTCCTCATCCTTTCTTCTTTATTTACTGTACTTGTACTTCCTCTTGTTTCACCCATCATTTCTAGAATACATATCGTTGTTTCCACTCGATTTCTATTTTATATGAACAGCTGCATTCGGAGGGATAACCAGAAGTGCCCTTTAAGCACTATGTGCCATGGTTTCAGCGCGAGGGGCATCTGGGATTGGTGTCCTCTAGACAATGACCAATCACGGAAGGGCAATAACCAGTTGAACAAGATGAGGCACTACTTGGCCATACATGTAATGTAGTGAAGCTAACAAGTATGTACCTCGTAGTTCATTACTCTACTAGTACCTATTCCGCCATATTGCTTTGTATATGGGCTTTAACCTGTCACGGATTCTCAAATTGAGATTTTTTTCTATAATCTCTTATTGTCGACTGTAACACAGATACTCTAATAAATGTATAGTAGCCACAGTTCGTATTTTCATCGGTCTTCTGGTTTTGACTTTTTTTTCGGCACTATTCAACTACAACTACTAACTGATTGACTACCCCAAAAGTCAAAAAAAAATTTTTTTTTGCTGAAACTTGGCCTACTGAGGTGACTCGGTGTTCCTTGATGAATATAGCACTCGTTTCGGCGCTGGCGCCAAATTGGCGGCAGGTTGGCGCCTCCACCTTTCTCACCAATTTCGGTGTAAATTTGCATAGTAGGGTTATTTGATGTTCTGATCACGCGAATTAGTTTTCAGCCCTGACGCCATTGATTTAGGCGCCACACCCTTTTTTATCAAAATTGATAAAAACCTGCATAATGGGGTTGTTTGATGCCCTGATCACGAATATGACATTTATTTTTCGACGCCAGCGCCATTTAGCGCTTTTCTAAGGCTGCCTGGGAGAAAGAGTGATTTCCTCTAGGTCAGGCTCAGCCTTAGCAGAATGCAGATGATCGCACCGTCTTCCATCAGCGCCAGCACCAAAATGAATGTGATGTTTGTAATCAAGATGTCAAATAACCTCCGTATACGAGTTTTCAGCGGATTTGTGATCTAGGGTTTCTGGCGCCGGCGCCTGTGACGCGGGCGCCAAGCACCTTCAGGCTATGTGTATGTGATATTCGTGTTCAGGAGGTCGAATCACCCTTCCAACCCACTTTTCAGCAAAATCTGCCCAGTAGAAGAAAGACGATCAAGATCCGGCCTGTATTCGCAAAATTGGGGTAATAATATGTATTAGGTCATCCCATTCAAACGTGCCGCTACATATAGAGGAATGGCAGAAAAGCAAAGGGGATAGAGCAGCGGGCTACTATACCATTTGGAAGCTAGTACCTTAAGCTGTGTATCTGTGAAATTTGGCGAACCTAGCCCCAGAAGAAGTTCTCGAGAAATTGAAAAGAAGCCCGAGTGGTGAAAATCGGCGCCGGTTTTTCAAATCAGACGTCATAAGAGGAAAGTGCGCTGCTCAAATTTGACCTGCGCCGGACCATAGTTGTGTGTAAGGGTGTTCTCGAAATACACGGTGGAAGATTTGGTTCAGGAGCCCGTACAAGGAAGAAAGGAAAAATTTGTTGTCGTGGATGGTCCCATAATATTCATCCTGCACAAGAAAAACGGGTGGATGAAGTCAGGCACTGAATATCTGATCACAGAGCCTGGACCTTTGTCGGGTTTCCCCGCGAGACTGACATCCCTGCTGCAATTACTGTACGTGTTATGACCGATAAACTGAGGATGGTCAAGGGGGTGTGCGCATGGGTACCCAATTTTCTTATAGAAGCACGAGATTCTATACCTCTAGCAGTAATGTTCTCAGCATGAGATGTCACTCACAACTGTGAAAACGCACCCAGGCCTTAGATGAAATATGGGTGGTCTCGGACCTCGAGCCGAAACTCACAATCGTCAATTTTGTATGAATGCAGATGAGAAGCCGCCGAGTTCTACCATGAAGAGTTACGTGGGCGCAAGTGGATGATCATCATAGCAAAGGATTCCCACACTGTGGCTTTCAAGCGGCTCTATACAGAGAACAAATCCGTCACTGTCGGTGCATATTGCCTGTTCCTCGGCATTCAGATCGACAAATGGATGCTACCACACAACTACAAGAAGGCCACCGTTGCTCGTCATAGTGCCAGACCCCGAGTAACTGTATTGTAGATCAGTGCTGGGACACAAACAATACTGAGACCTGGGTTCAATCGCCCCATTCGCCCGTCATAAAGCCATGCGATTACAACTGTTCTATTCAGTTGAGTACTCTCCGACGGCAGACGCTACAATGTTTTGTCATTTGCCGAAATTGGCAACAACAGCAATTTACCCACACTTGTTGAAAAATCGAAGGTACCAGAGGTCCAAAGGCCCTCGGGGCACTGGGAGCGGGTCATTGGTGAAGGGGGATTTACTCATCCTAAAGCTAAAATATCACTTTTCTATCTATTCTCCTTTTGTTTTATTCAAAAAAAACCAGCGGCCAGTTTGAATGGGATGACCTAATAGTTGAGCAGTGCCTTTTTTCTCTTTTAAAACTAGTAGAGCAAGGGTTAAATTAAGTTACATCTCGAAACGAATTCACGAGTCCAGAGGAAATGAAAAAAGGTAAGCAGTAGCTAGTTTACAGGAAACTCGAAGTATTATTCTCCAACTTCACTCTTCTTGCAACCTTGGCAAGTTAGTTGTTTGTTGTAATCTATGCTGTCTGTTCCTTCTGAATTTGATAGAAGTGACACTAATTTAGTAGTCTAAAGTTTCAACTTCAATGCAGTGAGCGCGATGGCGCTGGGTGCGGGGGGCGGGGGAGGGGGGTGCGACCAACGGGGTGTAGAATCCTTGAATGTCCTACACCCCTACCAACGCCACTGGTGGAAGGGGTGCGGTGTTTGGCCTCACCCCACTCAGCCCCTCCGCCAATGCTGGCAGTACCCCCATCCATCATGCCCACTGCCTTCAGTCGTCGTCAAAGGCCGACAGCTCTTCGGGACCCAAAAGTACCTCTCCTGCAACGGAAGAACGGAAGAAAAATGGACAAGGGTCTGTTTCGCGCTGATTAGCCTCAAGGTGCGCCATGCGTGGCACCCACGCAGCGGTAGTGAAATTGCGTAGCTTTTACGTAATGTCTGCCCATACAAGCAGATGTGCTCGTATGGTTCAGAACGGACCATGGCCCGCCTACGGACTTCTTTAAATGAGTTATTAATTAGTCACTTACGTACTTACGAGCTTGTGTTAACTTATCAGTATTGTTAGTTCTTTTTGTAGTCCGGGTTTCGCACATCCGGGTTCTTTACAGCGCAAGTTCCGCTACACATAATTTAACGATGATGATATATTTGCATTATTTGTTGCTGACTGACTCTTCACCTAATACTTATCCCCATCCAGCGGTCAAATACGAGACCCTGCACCGCAGGAATCCTCAACGATAGTGCGCTCTGAGTTCAGTCCCACTCAACGTGGCACTGCTGCGATGCGTGGACTCTCTCCACTATTTTTGTGTCTTTTCTTTTTCAAACTGACTAGCTCTCCTTGTGTCCGTGTCTGCCTAGTCAACTGGCTAGGGAGAAACGCGTTAGTGCCTGAAGTGACTCACGCTCACTCTATATTCCACTCACAGTGTCAGAAGAAACTTTACTCGTCCATCGTTATTCCCACAGCACTCTACGCAAGCGAAACATGGAAAGTGTCTGCCAAAGCTCGCCAAAAAATGAACGCCTTCCACCAGCGATGTCTTCGGCGAATCATGAAGATACGATACATGGACCGGGTCACGAATGAGGAAGTTCTACGACGGTGCGGTATGAGCAGCCTTCACGTGATTGTGGCACGGCGTAGGCTTCGACTGGCTGGCCACATATTGCGCATGCCACAACATCGAAGACATGATCTGGATTCCTCCAGGAGCCAAGCGAGCACGAGGCCGTCCTAGAAACACGTGGAGACGTTGCGAATCATGAATGCTTCTAGGGACCAGGCCGAGGAAATCGCGCAAGACCGACAACAGTGGAAAGAATTCGTCGCCCGATGTGCTCAACAGCACGGGAGGAACTAAGTCTAAGTAAAGTAAGTCAGAAGAAACGTTCTACACCCAGGTTCTGCAGACGGCGTTTCCTTGGGAAGGAGCCTTATAAAGCTTGCTAGTGCAATTCAGGCTCCTCACGGCTGTAAGATTCGAAGGTACAAATTGTGATAAACTGACTACCCAGGGTAACCTGGTCGGCGAATCGCGGAAGATGTACTGCACTAGAAATGTGGAAACTGGCAAGCAACAGAGACCTTCAGTGCTTGGCCCATGGGCACCCAGTAAGAATATGCAAGCGTTCCTTGCCCGATTGCCGCGATAATGTCTTTTATAGTCTCTTGCCCGTTTCCCGGTCTCTCCTACGCTTTTCACTGTGGCCTTTCGCACCTTACAGTTGATCGTGACGTTCTTATGCTCGTTCGTTGATCAGGATCAAGTGCAGAAGTAGGGCTGTACGGAGAGCACTTTTCATACTTTCTTCTTCGCTAGTAAGTTAGCTATCACGCTGGTTTCTGTATTTGAACACTTTTACGCTGCACATCCCAGAGGTAGTGGCGCGTGGCTGCGTAATTCACTGAAAAACGGATAGGTGTTTCTGCTGAGATTTTTCAAATCTGAGGCAACTATCATCCCACTTTGTCGTGGAAAAAAGCATGTTTACAACTATCCCAAAAGGGCAGATATTCAACCAAAGGCGCAGTTACCGTTAAACTCAAATGACGTCTGCTGTTACGCCCATTCCAGTTTAGTGAGATGGAGCATCCCCGCGACTCGAATTCGTGTAAAGTGTCTCTGGAATGGTCACAGCTCTTAGTTGCATACACTTTTTTGGAAAGATTCTCTTCCATACTGCATAAGGAACAAGAAAGTAAGCTATGACCATTCGGTATGTCTTGCCAGCTCATGCGGCATCCATCGGGAAACCGCGAAAAAATTAAGA